CTTTTTACTATAAAATTATCCATGGATCATGAGCAAGTTCTTTTAACTAGAAACTCTGACCCGGAGTGTAAAGAGCATAAAATTTTTGACAAAGGCTAAGTTAAGCTTGGATCCAAACAAGAGGTATTTGCCCTGCCTACTGCTCATCAGGGGATCTATGTTAACGACTGGGGAATCAAGTGTTGGATGAGATATTTCCCTTCTTCCAGCAGCCATACATGTCACATCCTAATTCCCCATTTTGCTATCAGAAAAATGTTATCTTTTGTCTTCTCACAGACTCCCATCTGCAAAACCCAACGATACATTCTTTTTCCACCCTTCTGTGCCTACAAGATCACTCATAGATCCAATGGAAAAGGAGGACTAACATAGTACAAAATTTATAATCCTTTGCTCCTCTTTCGTACAATACTGGTGGGAGAACCCATAGAAAGGTAGCCGTCCTCCTTGGTTGCAATGTTGTTGAGATTCCGACTTTGATGATTTCTTCCAGTGTTTAGATGATAGGATCTAGGAAGGTGGTCTATGCTTCTAGTGTGGTGAACAGTAGCATTCAGCTGGTAAGAGACAATGGGAGGCAGCATGAGGTGAGCCCCCTCTTGCCTGTGGGGCTTGATCTTGACCATTTATCATATATTTTAGATTTGAGCCATTCTCCAAACTATAAACTTTGTAGGCTTGCTTCTTAATGTGGATTTCTGGTTGGAGCCTGATACCTAGACCCCAACATCATCTTGCCAGCCAAAGCTCAATCCTTGCCAATGCTTGGCCCAGATTTGAAGTAACTTAAAACTTTGTTGTTCCAAACTTAATTTTTTTAAATTATGTCATTATGTCATAATGGAGCTAGTTGTTTCTGTATTCTTCTGGAAAATAGTAGGTTTATTCTTCTATTTTACAGAGAAGTTGATGATTTGAGTTGAAATTACACAAAATTTGGGTTATTCCGGCTGTGGAGACCCCTGCTGAATCATCTTGCATATTTCGTGCACCACTCTGTTACCTTTGCTTATCACCACCATTGATGCTATCATGCTTTTCTATTACCTCTTGATCTAGTCAATCAAAGATTAAAATTAATTGATGCATTATAGACACCACTAATTCCATCTTTCATGACTTATTTTGTTTCATTTGCATTCAAGCAGAGGAACTATCATTTATTCTTTATGTTCGTGTTTTCAACAACCATTCTATGCCTGTATGTCTTTGCCTTCTGCTGGGTCAACCTGAAAAAGATTATGGAAGCATATGAATGCAATCTCTGGGCAGCTGTTCTGAAGTCACCTGTTTCTGGCATTCTCGTCATTTATACATTCATAGCCACTTGGTTTGTTGGGGGCTTGACAGCCTTCCACTTATACTTAATTTGCACCAATCAGGTTAGCTTTTTGTTGCTTAAGACATGGATTGCTGGTCAATTTTGTATGTTTCGCTGTGCAAACATAACTGCTTTATCTCCTCTTTGTAGACCACATATGAGAATTTTCGATATCGCTATGATGGCAAAATGAATCCTTATAACCATGGGTGCATCCATAATGTTAAGGAGGTCCTCTTCTCATCAGTTCCCAAGTCCATGAATAATTTCAGAGCAAAGGTGAAAGAGGATTCAGCTGGATTCACCTCATCGCGTTCTTTGGGGCGTGTTGTGAGTCCAGATATGCCGAAGACAAGCTTTGACCTAGAGAGTGGTGGGAAAAGGCATACCGTGGCTGCAGAGGAGCTTGAAGACATTCAGAGCCAGTTCGAGATCGGAGCGTCAGAAAGATGCGATACCCAACCACCACACTCAAGCTGGCCTGGTGATAAAGGCAATTGGGAAATAACACACGACATCGAGGCACTGGCTGCTGAATTTGGAATGGAGCATGGATATGGGGACAATGGAAATACACGGGGGATTCCTTGAAATGATGTTGAGATGCAGATTGATAGTTGCTAATCCAGCTAACTGGGATCCATTCTAGGAGTGGTCAGACGTGAAACAAAAAGCCTTTTGTCTGATTCATGCTGCGAATGGTTAACGAAGGACGAGTTTGTATCCAGTAACATGATGCAGCATCAACTGTATACACGTAGTTGATATGGAGTTGGAGGTGTTTGTAAATGTCTGCATGTGCTGTTGTTTTCTTGGGAATTCAATCTTTTCATCTGTCCTTTTTCTTCTTTATTGTATTGGGACCAAGATACTTCTTAGCCTGTTCAAGGTCAAGGCCAAGGCCAAGAAAAAGTAGAACTTGATGTTAGTTGTGGGTCTGTGTGTAAACTTCAACTCATTTCTTGCAGAACAGCTACCGAGAAGTTGGGTTGAATTTGGTGAGGATTTCATTGATTGTATTGGGACCAAGATACTTCTTAGCCTGTTCAAGGTCAAGACCAAGGCCAAGTAGAACTTGATGTTAGTTGTGGGTCTGTGTGTAAACTTCCAACTCATTTCTTGCAGAACAGCTACCGCCCAAGATGGACGTTGGATTGAATTTGGTGAGGATTTCATTGATCACTGCAAGCAAACGCTTCCAGGCATGAGAGACAATCCAGTAAGTCACCGACCTTCCATGTCGTTGCTTCTGTTGCTCTGATGATTTTTTTGCACTGCAGGGTTATGAAGCGTGTTTCTGCATCAGTCCTGCTGCTTCCACTGGCATTATTCCTACGTCCTGGTAAGAAGCCAACTTAGCTACAGACTGCATGTATAACCCTAGAAAGGTGTCCAAGCTGCAGGCGATACATGTCTAATACTGACTCTTTTTGAACCAAATATTCCAGGAAGGCCGCATTCACAGTATTAAATCGGAATATCTCATTTATTATTGTAGAAAAGCGAATCACACGACTAGCAATTTCGACTACAAAGTGAAGGCTTCTCTCATGTATAACCAGATGGAAGCAGGGGCGGCTCCATGTTCGAAATCTCAGCGCAGAGATGGATGGTTCTTTTGGGTGGAGGAGTTGCTGTCTTCGGGGTGGCGCCTCCTAATGAGGTTGATGTTAATGTGCACGCCGGGGCTGCCCTGGGCGCAGCAGGCATTGAAGAGCATTGAATTGTTGACACACTGCACATTGCTGTTCACCGGTGAGATAATTGGCTTCCGCTTGCTTGCTGTCTTCGTCCTCTTCCCTTCGGTGTCGTTCGCGTCCTCAGCCTGAGTCTCACCTTTCGCGTGATGAAGCTGCTGCTTTCCGATCTGACGGCCGTGGGAAGAGCCTAGATCCATGTAGGCGCCCACGTTGTACCCTGCAATGGTAATGGCCTTCGTCTCGTTCTCGTTCTCCTTCTTCTTGGTAGCTGACTTCCCTGCGCTGCCGTTCTCTGTCGCTGAACTCTTCTCGTCTGTCTTTGGGGAAGCAGCGCGTCCTTTCATGTTGTCGTGCATGGAGTTGCTGTGATTACTGTTGTGGCTATTCCCCGCACCATTGCCGGCGCCTCTTGTGTTGGCATTGCCTTGTTCGATAGCGAGCTTTGGCCGCATAGGTTCAGGCGCTGGATGTGGCACCGGAGTGGCAGGAGGCTGCGTCAAGTTAGTCCTGGGGGATCGAGGTGGCGTTGGGGATGAAGTCTTGATGACCATAGGAGACTGCGGAGGAGTTGGGGAGGAATGCAGGGTTTGCTGTGACGGCACTGACTGTGGTGTCGGTACCGCAGATATGGCGGCGGCACCGTTGGTGGTTTTCAATGCAGGCCGTGGTGTTTCCTGAGTCCGGGTTGGTGGCGGTGGTTGGGTTTGGGCCGGTGCAGGCTGTGTTGGAGCTTGCGTAGGCAACAGACCTGCCCTACCAAGAGCGAGCGAGGCTTGGCGGATCGGCGGACCTCGAGGGGGCGGTGCCGGCTGTGGCTCCACTCGGGTCTGCGACGCAAGTCGGCGCAGCCAGGGACGTGCGGTCGGCGGCTGGTTCGCCATTGCCGCACTCTGTATCACTCGATGGAGTAACTCGAGAGGACCCAACACCCTATTTGTAGGGAGTGGAGTGGAGTGGCGAGCCAACGTCCAAGCTATACTGCCCAGAGGTGACGTTTGCGACACCAATTAACAAAAGGCGAGGGCAAGGAATCAGATACCGGCAAACGCCGCAAGGGAACTAAGGAGTGCGATGTTAACGGCCTCCAGTGGCAAGCAGCTCGGCATCAGATCTCCCGGTAGCTCTCACAGGAAGAACCACGTTACAAGCTCATCAGCACTCTCATGGTGCCTACTTCCTGGATTTGGACGTCGCTCGGACTTGTATGTGAATGCCTGTTGTGCTTCTCTGGACTCTGCTGGGAGAGTTTGGAATCTGATGTCGATGCTCTTCCGGAGCCCAACCTGCCGTTCTTTCTATCTCGGCCCTTTTTATTTTAATCTCGTATGCTTATCGTTGAAAACTGACACAGATGCGCCGTTTGGTGTTTTTTTTGTGGGGGCGCGGTCAACTGGATGGTGCGTCGGCAAAGGACATTGATCGAACAGGTGGTGGAAATCACGGTGGGCAAGGAATCTGTTCGAAGTAAACCCGGACAGAAAGCATCTCTCGCGCGTCGTCGTGGATTGCATGTCGCAAGGGCGAGGAGAATCGAATGGGCTGCCGGAAAGCTGGTTGGAGCTGAAGCCTTCTTGATGGCCCAAAGCAGACGTCCATGAGTTGCTGCTTAAGAGCGAGGGAGAAAACATGTGAGGAGTGCTTAGATATTCTTTTGTCGGTCGAGTCCACCACACATCTGCTCTGCCACTCTCCACTCTTACGAATCTTCTCCGATTCATTACGAACAGAAACCTCTGCTCTCATACGTAGCCACGGAGTAAGTGCGAGTCACTCGAGAGAGACGACAAAAAGCATCGTTACATACAAACTAGAAATATGAGAAGCTTTTGACAAAAGGTTTAATGGAAGGAGAAGAAGAGACACTTGAAATCCCAAGCTGATCTCCGGAGGAGAGCAGAGACAAAGAAGACCCGAACCAATAAGAAAACGCCACGTCCACCCGCTGGAGGGCGGGCGGGCGGGCGGGAGGGCGCGCACCCAAACTGTAGCCTTGCTCGTCAGTAGTAGTAGGAGGAGGAAGACGATCCACCGAGCTGGAACCCGTCGGCGGCGGCGTCGTCCACCGCCGGCATCGGCCCGAACAGGGGGCTGTGCACGTAACCTTCCTCGAAGAAGATCCCGTGCGAGGCCGTGGTGCCCTGCACGCTGAACTCCTCCGCGTCGCACCACACGGACGATAGGTCCTCCTCGCCCGCCGCCGGATCAGACACCGACTCCCATGGAGACGCCACCGCTGGAACCGGCGGCGGAGATGGCGGCAGCGTCGAGGCCGCGTATTGTATCCCGTCCTGCTGCTGTTGCTGGTGGTAGTAGTAGTCAGCCCCATCGTATGGCATTGCATTGTCCGAGATAGGGTTGTAGTCGGCCTGACATCCCAGGGCGGGAAACATGGCCGCGGGGTGTCCGGAGCCCTGCAGAGGCGGCGGCGGGGACAGGAGGAAGGAGGAGGGCGGGGGCTGGAGGTCGGGGGAGAGGAAGGGAGTGAGCGAGGAGCCCGGCGGGAGGTCGGGGTACGCGAAGTTGGTGCGCGCTCGGGCGCCGCGAAAGGTGCGTGCGGCGCGGTCGTACGCCACGGCCGCCTCCTCCGCCGTGTCGAACGTGCCCAGCCAGTGGCGCTCCTTCGTCGCCGGGTCGCGTATCTCCGCCGCGTACCGGCCCCACGGCCGGCGCCGCACGCCGAGGTACCTCATGCCACCGCCACCGGCGTCGTTGCTGCTGTTGTCTTGCTGCGGCCTGCGATTGCTTCTCTTCTCCTGAGTGGGTTCAGAGGCTGGAATGGCAGAGGAGGAGGAAGAGGAGGAGAAGAAAAAGGAGAAGCCCATCGGACGATGTGTGGATGTCGAGGTTGAGGTGGTGGAGTGTTTGCATGGTGAAGGGTTTATATACAAGCAAAGGTGATGCAGTGAGAGAGATGGAGAGACACACACAATAATATATGTGAAGCTTGGCGCATGTTTAATCTAATGATCAATCTAATAAGGGAGGGGGTGGGGGCCCACACATGATCAATCTAATGATTTGAAGTGGGCTTCAAGAAACATAAATCTAATGATTGGCAGAGGTGGAAAAGAGGCAATGTGGACTCAAAGTTAGTAAACATGGATTACATCTGACCGTCCCTTTTATGATCATCTTGAGGTTTCCTCAATTTATATGGTTTTTCTTATCCTAGACCTTCTAAATTTCATTTTATTATCATTAGTTTCTTCTCTCTCTTTCTTGGTGTAACTCATGCTGATCATCTATTTTATGCTAAAAGAAAATATATGTTATTTTAAATAATTAATCAGTAATCAACATTCGAAGTTCAGTCACTCGGATTATCGTATAGAATATTTTTTTTATAAATTTCTGACTCAATATTTACAATCTTTCTTTCAATTTTCGCTTCGAATCTCGTATTAACTTGCGCATCAAAATAGTATTATTAGTATTGAAGATATCGTCATGACGATTAAAAATTTGTTTTGACGATATCAGATTGCCTTGATGATCAAAAAATGTGTTCTTAAGGAGTCGTGGCATAGATTTATGATCAATTTGACATGGTTCACTGCTTGAAAACTAATCATTTGCGACTCGAACTTTCTCCTTGAGGATTGAATTGATTGTTGAGAGTAAGGTTTTAGAGAGTCACAAGGCACATGCTGATGGATTAAAGAAAATGAAAACAAATCAGATGCAATCTAGAAGTGAAAAGAATATGGACTCAGGTTGGCATTAAAGAGCCAAGTGATGGTCCCTATGCATTCATATATGCCTTTTATGATCATTCTCTGATGGCATGGAGTTTGCTAATGATGAGGAGAAGCCCCTCCCCCCTCCACAACCATTGCCATCACATGAAATGATTAGATGCCACAGCTTTGAATATTTTGCAGTCTGCAACTGCCTCTTCTTGGCCTGCATTCATGAAAGAGAAGTTTCTTGAGAGCTCACCAGAAGCCAACCATGAGTTCATTGTATCTTGCAGCAACTATGATGGCCTTTACTCTTGTCATCTCTCTCTCTCTCTCTCTCTCTTCCATGGATTCATGTAATACACTCTCTCAGTCCAAAAACATTCTCTCCTGAATTGATGTGACCATCCACTCATGGCCTTGCCATGGAGAGACACAAAAAGATGCATTACAAAACAGAGAATGCATGATTTAATGCATTGCTAATAATCTAATGTTCAGAATCTAAATCTATGGGAGTTCAGATACAGATCATGTTCCAAATCACACACACATTTGTTTAAGTGAGGTATGAAAGGCTTATCATTGCCAATCCATGTGCTAGCAGATTGAGAAAGAACCAATGATAAGCTCCACAACCCAAAACACCTTTCCAAAGCCAAAGGTTCCTTCAATCTTTTCAATCTCAGAGGTGTGGAGAGTTTAGTTTGCTGTCCTATATTTGGTGTTGCAGGTCCCATGGAAGCCTCAGGGAGTCAAAAGATCTGTTGGTGTGCATGTGAAGGGAGGAGAACTTATTCTGCAGTGATCAGATGACTCAGCCACTACAAACTTTTCACCCTTACATATACACATACAATAGAGTTGAGTAAACACCAACCCAATGTCTGATAGCAGGAGGTTTTAGTATATCCTTCTCACAAGACCAATCCTGTTTCTAATCCTAATCCAAGGTCAAGGTGGAAAGCTATCTAGAAACTGCAAAATGCCATAAGCTGCATGGTCATACTGCACACATTTACTATTGCTGCAGAATGTTATGAGTTCTAGGAAGTTTGATCAAACATTTCCATAATTTTTTATATCTTCAGATTAGTTTATGCAAATTAATGGCAAGGATGAGCATCACAGAGTAAGCATATATGCCTACTCTGTCATATAGCTTCTTAAGTCAGTAACCCTTTCACTAATATCTATATAAGAAACACAAGCTTAAGTTTTTAGATCTTAAGAAGAGCTAACAGAGACTTCTACTTTTTAATAGAGAACAGTCAAACAACTCCATTTGAATGTTCTTCTGTATATGGATTGTTAGCTTTTATATGTAGAATTGCTCTAGCAGTATTGACAGTCTCCAACAATCAGCAGTTTCAGAGAGTGAGAAATCACATGGCACATCATATTGTAATGGTCAGGTATAACAGGAAAAGGACAAGGTTGCTCTTTAATAATGCAAGAAAAGGCCAATGAAATGCTGCAAACAGTATTCACTACTGCAGAGTCTGATATGCTATTAAGTGTACTATACTTGAACAGTCACTCTTCCACTGAGATGAAAGATGATCCTAACTTTGTGACAGAGAGTAAATTGTTTAGGTCTAGACATGTGACAGGCTTTCAAGTTGTAATATGCTACTACATGTAATGCAGACAATAATTTATCTGATTTTTTAACCCTACATATTTGCAATATAGTCTGTGTGTCACTTAGGTTTAAACCTTTATTTCACTACTCTGGCACAGCCCTTGGTTGTTTGACACTGACCAAGGTGAAGTCAATCCTTTCTTTCTAAGAAAATTGTGTGTATATCATGCTACTTGATTTCCAGTTGGCATATAGACCTTCAATGTAGGGTTTTGGATGTGTCAGAATTCTGTTAAAAAGAACAAGTTATGCATACATAACTTGATGGAAATAGCCAGAGAAATCTAGACAAGGTAATAGACAGGATGTGTTTCAAAGTAGATTAAGATCCAAAGTCAAAAGTCGAGAATTCATCTTCTCTCAAGGCTTATTATGCCCTGATGAAATGAAGCACGAAGCAAACCGGGACAGAATGGGAGTTCATATGATCTTTAAAACAAATTGAAACAGTGAACAGTGGAATGATATGAAATTGTGTGTTATAAACCATTTTGATTACAGCAAGCGTACTGAACAAACTTCTTCTGTCTTGGCAAATCTACAGGACGAGAGTTTGTGTAGCAAACTCTGATATTAACAACCCAACTGATGTTGTCATGAGAAAGGTAGGACAAGAAACTGTACAAGTTAAATCGTTAAAACATTCAACCTCATCGACAGAAGGTGAGAGAACAAACCATAAACTGACTTTACAAACAGGCTCATCGAAGGCGGGACGAAAGCATCAGCATGAGGCAATGGCCCGCTCAGCTGAAGTCGAGATGCGGAATTTTGGTGGCTCGTATAACCCAGACACAGGTGGCACAGGCTTGCTAAAGAGGTAGATCCTGAACAAGTCGAGGGCTTCGCGCATCCAATCATACCGACAGAGTGCATATGCTTCTTCCAATGCCACCTGTTTTAGGACCAGCCAATAGTGTTAGGAATAAAGATCAAAAGCATCTCAAAATTTGCAGTTGATTTGCCTACTATGTGAAATGAAGTACTAGCAGATACCGACCCATTTCCTGCCATGCATTTTCTGCTCGGGCCAGTTGTCCAGTTCCTCAGTGACCTCCAAGGCAAAGATGTGACCTCTGCAACCTCCTTCCTGGCTGCAAGTACCTTGGCTGCTCTTGCTTCTAAACACCCAATTACCTAGCTCGATTTCCTAAACATGGATCAACACAATGCTTTTAAGAGAGAGAAAGAAAGGGAGAAGTAGATAATAATTAGCACTGATTGCATTGATGGGGCATAGAAAACATCTGTTCTGTTTGGACTAGCTTTCATGAAGAAACACATAGTAGGAAATATTTTTTTGTTAGAGATAAGAACAAGAACACAAAGTAGGTTTTATTCTTTTCCCCTCATCTTTGATCCTTCCAATGAATTCATGTTGCTAGTTTTAGGACTTTTACACTAATGTCACCTCCAGTCTGTAGACATTTATGGTGTCATCCAATCCAAGTTGCAGCCAGCAACATTATCTGTCTATTTGGTGAGTAGCTATAAAAGCAGTGATGCCTCCATGACAATGATATGAAAAGACCAGTTATGAAGCATTCACCACATACTTGTATGATAATACTTGCTTCTTCTTTTTGTGATCCAAGCGACACCCAAGTTATAGAGCTGAATCTCTAAAGAAGATTAAAGACAAGGCCATTTCTTTCAAACAGGTGACCTGTGGGGCCGAAATTGTAAGGCCATTACCAGGAACAGATCATGTCAGATGTTGCAGGAATCAGGAGAACAAGAGGCATATCACATGCACAGTAGGTGGGTAAGGCAAATATCAACTATATATGAAGATCCAAAAGTGATTGTTCGTGATAAGTATGATAACAGTGAATGATTTAATGATGAGTAATATTCCAGAATGTTAATTACACGTTTTTTTTTCTTTCAAAAATTGAAGCATGAAGCTTAGATATATGCCACTGGCAAGTCAACATCAACCCAACTTTAAAATCACAGATCAGCAACTAGCTGCAGAAATTAAAAGCAAGAAAAGAGGAGCTTCATTTTGTCACATAAGGAATCTACAAACTTCAACCCTATCGAGAAAAAAACGTCTCGCTCACACAGGATTCATTTAGAAGTGAGTGAAATAGTTGTTCTTTTTCTATAATGGCTCTTATCTGAGTCAGTATTGACCAAACATTAATTTCATAAGGACCCCGCCAATTGAGCAAAAGACAGATTTGCATGGAAGACCATGTCTTTTTTCTTGAGGTATGAAATCAAAATAATGATAGAAAGCACAAAGTTAGGTAAACCTCCAAACTCCACTAAGATATGGTTGTTTGAACAAAGAATGACTTTGTTGTTGTGCATCAATAATAACAACAAATTCATGCCGACCCTACACAAAGTTAGGTAAACCTCCAAATTTTATGTGCATCAATCATAAAATTTTGGATACTGATACTTACATCTATTATTCCCCTAACTCCTGCTTCCTCCAGAGCTTCCCGGCATGCTGCTTCGCATACAGTCTCATCTGTCTCCCAGCCACCCTACATCATAG